GTGTGAAGGAAACTAGGCCTGCGGCGGCCGTAGGGCTGTCAGGGTTCTCTGGAGTCCGGTCTCCGCTCCCGCTCCCAATCGAACTCTAAGATTTTATTTATTTATTTGAGAGAGAGAGTGAGAGGGGAGAAGGTCAGAGGGAGAAGCGGACTCCTTGTGGAGCAGGGAGCCCAATGTGGGACTCGATCCCCGGGACTCCAGGATCATGACCTGAGCTGAAGGCAGTTGCTCAACCAACTGAGTTTGCGTTGGTTTGGTTTATTAACAATTTGTATGTCGTCTTTGATGAAATATCTTTTCTTTTTTAAAGATTTTATTTATTTATTTGACAGACAGAGATCACAAGTAGGCAGAGAGGCAGGCAGAGAGAGAGGAGGAAGCAGGCCCGATAGGGGCTCCGTCCCAGGACCCCGGGATCATGACCTGAGCCAAAGGCAGAGGCTTTAACCCACTGAGCCACCCAGGTGCCCCCATTTATCAGTTTTCTTATGTCAAACCACCCTTGCATTGCAGCAGTAAACCCCACTTGGTCACGGTGTATGATCCTTTCAATATGCTGCAGAATTTGCTGATAATTTGTTGAGGATTTTTTACATCAATGTTTGTGAGGTATATTAGGCTATAATTTTACTGTAGTGTCTTTAGCTTTGGTATCAGGGTATTAATGGCCTTTATGATTTAAGAAGTGTTTCCTCCTCTTCAGTATTTTGCAAAAGTTGGAGGATTGGTGTTCTTCTTTTAAAGACTTTGGTGGAATTCATAAGTGTAACTATCAGGGCCAAGGTTTTTTCTTTGTTGGGAGATATTTTTACTACTAATTCAGTCTCCTTACTAGGTAGATGTGTCTATTCAGATTTTGTATTTCTTCCTGATTCAGTTTTCATGGTTTTGTGTTTCTAGAAAGTTGTCCATTTTATCTAGGTTACCCAATTTGTTGGTGTACAGTTGTTCATAATACTCTCTTATAATCTTGTTTTTTTTTTTAATTTCTGCAGAATCGGTAGTAATGTCCCCACTTCCATTTCTGATTTAGTCATTTAAATGTGTTTTTTTTTTCTTAGTTCATCTAGCTAAAGGTTTGCCAATTTTGTTGATCTTTTCAAAGAACCAAGTTTTTATTTGCCTGATTTTTGTTTCTGTTTTTCTATTTTCTTTATAATTTCCTTTTAATCTTTACTATTTCCCTCCTTCCCTTCACTGTGGTTTTAGTGTGTTCTTTTCCTGCATCCTTAAGTTGTCTACTAGTTTGTTGATTTGACATCTCTTTTGTTATTTAACATAAGCATTTATAACTATAAATTTCCCTGTTAAGGCTGCTTTCGTTGCATCGTATAAATTTTAATATCTTAAGTTTTCATTTTCAGTAGAAGTGAGTCATATTTTATATGATACCTTTTTAAATCTGTTGAGACCTAATTTTGGTGTTAACATGATCTATCCTGGAAAATGCTCCATGTTCATTTGAGAAGAATTTATATCCTGTTTTTGAATAGAATATTCTGTATATGTCTGTTATGTCTAGTTGGTTTATTATGTTAAGTTCTCTATTTCCTTATTTATATTTTGTCTGGTTGTGTTATCCCTTATTGAGAATGAGATATTGGAGTTTCCATCTATTACTATAGGATTGTCTCTCTTTTCCTTCATTGTGTCACTTTTTGTTCCATATATTTTTTTTAAGATTTTATTTATTTATTTGACAGAGAGAGATCACAAGTAGATGGAGAGGCAGGCAGAGAGAGAGAGAGAGGGAAGCAGGCTCCCTGCCGAGCAGAGAGCCCGATGCGGGACTTGATCCCAGGACCCCGAGATCATGACCTGAGCCGAAGGCAGCGGCTTAACCCACTGAGCCACCCAGGCGCCCTGTTCCATATATTTTGATGGTCTGTTTTTAAGTACATGTTTACAATTGTTGCAGCTTCTTGCTGTATTAGATCTTTTATTAAAATACAATGTTCTGGGGCGCCTGGGTGGCTCAGTCCATTAAGTGTCTGCCTTCAACTCAGGTCATGATCCCAGGGTCCTGGGGTCAAGCCCCGCATCAGGCTCCCTGCTCAGCGGAGAGCCTGCTTCTTCCTCTCCCACTGTCTGCCACTCTACCAACTTGTGTGCTCTCGCTCTCTCTCTCTCTCTCTCTCTCTGTCAAGTAAATAAAAAATAAAAATCTTAAAAAATATATATGCATAAATGTTCATTGTCTTTTGTAATCTCTTCTAATTTAAAGTCTATTTTATTTGATAATAATATAGCCATCCCTGCTCTCTTTTGGTTAGTGTTTGCATGGAATATCTTTTTCATTTCTTTTACTTTTAATCTGTTTGCGTCTTTGGATCTAAAGTAAGTCTCTTATAGATGCATATGGTTGGATCATGTGATTTATGGATTATGCCAGTCTGTTTTTTAATTTGAGTTTAATCTGTTTATATTTAACATAATTATTCATAGGAAGAGACTTATATCATTTTGATATTTGCTTTCTATATGCATTATTGATTTTTTGTTTCTCATTTCCTGCATTATTGTCTTCTCTTATATTTAGCTGACTTATTTTTTAAAATTTTATTAATTTATTTGAGAGAGAGCATGAGAAGGGGGAGGGGCAGAGGGAGAGGGAGAGGGAGAAAGAGACTCCCTTCTGAGCAGGGAGCCTAACTTGGGCCTTAATCCTAGGACCCTGGGCTCATGACTTGAGCTGAAGGCAAATGTGTAACCAGCTGAGCCACCTGGGTGCCCTTTAGTTGCCTTTTTGTAGTAAAATGTTTAAATTCCTTTCTCATTTCCTTTTGTGTATATTCTATAGCTATTATTTTTTGTGTGTGTGGTTACCATGGGGATTGCGTTTAAGCATCTTAAATGTGTAGCATTAATCTGATTTTATACTTGCCTGCTTTCAGTAACAAAAAAAATTCTCCAGGGTGCCTGGGTGGCTCAGTGGGTTAAGCCTCTGCCTTCAGCTCGGGTAGTGATCTCAGGGTCCTGGGATCAAGCCCCACATCGGGCTGTCTGCTTCACGGGGAGCCTGCTTCCCCATCTCTCTCTGCCTGCCTCTCTGCCTACTTGTGATCTCTGTCAAATAAATAAATAAAAATCTTTTAAAAAACAAACAAACAAACAAACAAAATTCTCCTTTACAGCTCAGTTCTCAACTCTTTTGGTTCGTGTTGCAAAAGTATATTTTTGTATATTGTGTTGCCCCAGACTTAAGACTAATAACTTTTTAAAATTCATTAGTCTTTTGAATTATGTAGAAACTATATGTGGAATTATAGCCCAAAGTTACAGTAACACTAGCTTTTTTATTTTATTTTTAAAGATTTTATTTATTTATTTATTTATTTGACAGAGATCACAAGTAGACAGAGCTGCAGGCAGAGAGAGAGAGAATAGGAAGCAGGCTCACTGCTGAGCAGAGAGCCTGATGCGGGGCTCTATCCCAGGACCCTTGGATCATGACCTGAGCCAAAGGCAGATGCTTAACCAGCTGAGCCACCCACATGCCCCTTAATTTCTCCCTCTTAGAGGACACTTTTGCCAGATATAGGATTCTTGTTTGACATTTTTTTTCTTTTACCCTCGAATATATTGACCCACTGTTTTCTGGCCTCCCAGGTTTCTGCTGAGAAGTCTGCTCGTAATCTCATTGAGAATTTCTTGTATGTGACAAGTAGCATCAAGGTTGCTGTCAAGATACTCTGTTTATCTTTGGGTTTCAAAAGTTTGATTGTAAGTTTTGTTGGTGTGAATCTATTTTAGTTCTTCTTTCTTGGAGTGCACTGATCTTTTTGGATATTTATTATTGATTTCTTTCATCAAATTTGGGATATTTTCAGCCGCTTATTAAAATACTTTCTTTTACCCTTTTTCTTTCTGACTAATCCCACAATAAGTATATTGGTTTGTTTAGTGGTGTATCACAAAGTCCATTAGAGTATGTTCACTTTTCTTAAATCTTTTTTTTTTTTTTTTTTTGTTGGACAGAATTTTTATTTCTTTTTTTTTTTTTTTAAGATTTTCTTTATTTATTTGGCAGACAAAGATCACAAGTAGGCAGAAAGGCAGGGGGTGGGGGAAGCAGGCTCCTTGCCAAGCAGAGAGTCTGATGTAGGACTCGATCCCAGGACTCTGGGATCATGACCTGAGCTGAAGGCAGAGGCTTTAACCCACTGAGCCACCCAGGCGCCCGAAGAATTTTCATTTCCTGTATTTAAGTATGCTGATTCTTTCTTCATCCTACTGAAATCTTCGTTTGAATTCTTGCAGTGAATTTTTCATTTCAGTTATTATACTTTTCTTTTTGGTTTCTTTTTAAGTTTCTAGCTCTTTATTGATATTTCCATTTTGTTTATACATAGTTTTCTTGACTATCTCCATATCTTACTTTAGCTCTTTGAGCTTATTTAATGTGGTGGTTGTAAAGTCACGTCCAGTATGTCTGTATCAGGTGTTTTTTAGGAATAGGTTTTGGAGGGATTCCATACATGACCTACTGTATCCTCAGGGACTTATTACCTTTCTGGGATTGATGTATAGAAATCCATGCACGAAGTATTGGCAGCCTAGGAATTTCACCTGACTTGAGGGTCAGAGTTATTAACTGTCTTCACATAAGCACAGCTGATTGAATCATTTCCTATGTGACTGTCCAGAGGCCTAGTTGCTATCTTACAGCTCAAAGCACCAACCCTCTGATTGCATGTGGTCAGACATTGCCCTCAGTCATCTCTTAAGCATGAACTATCAGGAGCCCAAATGAGTTACCTATTTGCATAAATGTCCAATCTGGAATGGACTGTGTCTCCTCTCTTGCACTTTGTCTTCTAACTCAACCACTCCCCCAGGTTTCCCTTTCATGGTGTCAACAGTCCTAGGATCAAGAAATAAAGACATTGTTATCCTGGGATTCAGAGGTAGCAAGACAGAGACACTATTTTCATCTTTGTTTTTCTCTCTTCATTTCACTGAAATGCTCATTTTTTTCTGTGTTGGCATTACCAACGGACCTTTTTATGTATTGGGTTTCTTTCAGGTGACAAAGGAAAATCCAAGACCACAGAATCAACCACCAGTGAACCAGCCCTGTCTGAGGGAGTCTTCCACCAGGAACAACTAACACAAGGAGTTCCAGAGGTGGGCCGAACTAAGGATCGGGATGGGTCATTGCAAATGCAAATGCAAGAAGGACACTTGAGACCAGAGGTAGACCCCCAGAAGGAGAAGCTCCCTGGAAAATCAAGCTCTGAACATGGCAACATAGGGACAGCTAATAATGTATATTCAGGGATTGTACAGGAGCCTGTCCCTCGGGGAGGTGCTGTCCATGACCGTGACTCGTGTGGGTCACATAAAGATCCTGTGATTCAGGAAGAAGAAAATATCTTTAAATGCAATGAATGTGGGAAAGTTTTTAATAAGAAACGCCTCCTTGCTCGACATGAAAGGATTCACTCTGGAGTGAAGCCCTACGAATGTACCGAGTGTGGGAAAACATTTAGTAAAAGCACTTATCTCCTTCAACACCACATGGTCCACACAGGGGAGAAGCCCTATAAGTGCATGGAGTGTGGGAAGGCCTTCAACCGTAAGTCACACCTTACCCAGCACCAGCGGATCCACAGTGGAGAGAAGCCTTACAAGTGCAACGAATGTGGGAAGGCCTTCACCCACCGCTCCACTTTTGTCTTGCATAACAGGAGCCACACTGGAGAAAAGCCCTTTGTGTGCAAAGAATGTGGGAAAGCCTTCCGTGATAGGCCAGGTTTCATCCGTCACTATATCATCCACAGTGGCGAGAATCCCTACGAATGCTTCGAGTGTGGCAAGGTCTTCAAACACAGGTCCTACCTCATGTGGCACCAGCAGACTCACACTGGGGAGAAGCCCTATGAGTGCAGTGAGTGTGGGAAAGCCTTCTGTGAGAGTGCGGCCCTCATTCACCACTACGTCATCCACACTGGGGAGAAGCCCTTTGAGTGCCTGGAGTGCGGGAA